TGCAAAAACACCCACGTCAGAAGTTTTGATTAAAAATCCGCAATGTACCCAGTGTTTAAAAAATTAAAAATTACATATATGTGTACATATGTATATATAATGTGTATGTATGGAATTAAGTACACACATTGTTTTTCATCACTGGTACAGAGAGATGGACACTCACTCTGCCAGCTCATGAATCATGGCAGAACAGACATGTGCTGAGTGTGGTTATCATATAGGAGGCATGATGAAGGTACTGTAAGCAAAATCCTCATGTTCTATATTATAGCCAGGTTCCAGTGGACCAGGTATCAACAGAAGGCCAAGAACATCTGTGCAAGATTTCATTAACCACAGTGTTTGAGTGACAGGTTATATACCCTAATAGGGAAGGAGTGATTCCAAGCCCATGGAGAGTTAAAGGTTAGAGCCAAAGTCAGTGGCTTTGGATTTCAGGTTCATGAGTTTCACCCACCATTTTGTTTTTCTTGGAAAGAGCTGATGTACAGAACACCCTGTTGTAAGCGCCACCACGCTTTCCAAGAAACAGGCACCACCAGGAATGATGTTTCATTACTTCACCCTCGCTCTGGCTACGCTGGTGGGCAGCAAAGCCTCTTGTCTGCTTTTACCTTCCATTCACATGTATCCCCAATTCCCAGCCATGGGTCCCCACACCTTCACATTTGATTTGAATAATTTCCCCTGAACCTCTTTCCGCAAGGGAATAGCACAAGTGCCTATAGTGTTTCTGATGGAGTGGCTGTGGGAGAATCAAAGAAAATGCTAATAGATTGTACCCCTGCTGGTTAGAAATCATCTTCATTTCTGTCTGGGCTGGGTTGTTTAGAAAAATGTCAATGCCTTACAATTCTGGGAAATTTATAGTGTGGCTGTGGGGTGGATTCTGTGGTTTGAAAACAGAATTTTATACTGATTCCCACATGTTATTTTAATGGTGTGACTATGTACTAATTGAAATAAGGTTGTGGATATTCCCTTAGCAAGGTATGTTTTATTAAATGATATTGCATGTTTTAAAAATTCTTGCTTCACATCGACGGACCTCTTGCTGCACACAGGTTGAGAATCTCTGCGTTATGCAAATGCCCAAATTCTGAGACCAAGGCGGTGATGGAGATCCTCGCTAGGCTCCACTGAGCCGGGCAGTAAGGGGCTCATTGGTTTCACCAGCGAGCAGATCCTCCACCCTCCCGGGGAGGGGGCTTGCTGCGGTGGGTGGACGGAGGGCCACACATCTTACCTGGAACTGCGGGGTGGAGGCCCCGCCTTGGCTCCCACCCCGGGTCTGCCATCAGCGCTGGGTCCCAGTCCTCCCCTTGCCGGTGACTTTCGTTCATTTCGCAAACAATCCTGAATCACATTATAATCCCAGCAAAGAGAAGAAAATTCCATTTCCCACAAACGAAACGAAAGAAAAAGGTGGAAGAAGGGGACAGAGGCAGTGGACGTGGAAATTTAAAATAACCTTTTTATCCCAGGATTCCCCCTAATTTTTTTTTTTTTTTAATCAAGAGCCGAACTGTGGAGCTGCTGAAACAAATCAAATCCTCCTGCACTGGGGCCCTTGTTAGCTTCTAGCTGCAGCATACCAGCTCCGCTGCAGGATTTAAAATCTAAGTACATTTTCACAAGTCTGATCAAGACCTCGTGTACACGGCACTACAATAGAACGGTCTAGTTAAGACGCCCTTATCAAGTTCCCAGCACTTGAGTGGCCCGTAGTCCGACCTACACTGTCCTTACACACAGGAATCTGGGGCAGTTCAATGTATTGCTCAAGGGCAGAGTCAGAAGCAAAACCAGGGCTGTGTCCCAGACTTCCTACTTACCTGTTAGACCTTCTTCCCCCTGGGTCCTAAGCCTGACACATTTGACTTCCTAAGCTTATGTTTTTACATGATTGTCCTCCCTTAAGGTGGTTGTTGTTGTTCTTAGATCATTTTTAGACTATTAAACACATAAAAATGATAATCTTAACAATGGTGTTTCTTCTTTTTGTTTACATACGCTAGGGTCTGGCCCCAGGGCACAGACAGAGGCCCAAACTAGCTAGCTCTAAGGAGGTGGGGGGAAAGACTTTGTGAACTTCCCTCAGGAAGCAGGGGAAAAAGCGCAGACTCCTTTCCCTGCGGCCTCCCAGCTCAGTGCTGCCTGGAATGCGAGGCTAACAGGAATCAATTACCTCCTGGGAGGAAGATTTCCCCAGCTTCCTGGTTGGCTAGCACCTTATTTTGAGGGCTTCAATCCTGCCTATTGTCTTTGGAAAGATTAAAGCCTGCAGACTCCAGCCATACAGGAATCAGTTGGGGCACCACCACCCCTACTGCCCCCCAAACAGTAAAATAAGAACACTGGGCAAAACAAAGATTTATATTTCATAATATGAAAAATCATGACCCAAATGAATATAGCTTACTATAAGTTATTTGTTAACTAAGGCAGCAGTAATATAAGGATGCAGAGATCCTGCAGGCAGTAGAGAAACACCAGAAAAGGGAAATTAGATGATCCTAGGCAGCTCGGAGGCAGGGTAGAGAATGGATTGGTGGGAGAAGGGAGAGAAACTAGAAGCAGAGACCAATGAAAAGGCCACTCAGTCCAGCTAAGAGATGAGAAAAGGAGCGACAAATGGAAAACGAAATGGCGGGGCATGGGAAAAAGTTAAAAGATATTCCTGGAGACACACTGGCAAGATGTGGTGGCCTGGATGTGTGGTGGTGGTAGGAGTGGAGAGGAATAATGTGGGACCAGGGATGACTCTGAAGTTCCCTGCTGCACAACCAGTAAAACCCTTAACTGGGGGAAGGAAGGTAGGAGTAGGAATAGGTTTATGGGAGGAAGAAAATGAATTCAACGTTTGGGTATGTTGAGTATCAGAAGTCTATGGCTTGCTGAAGCCGGTTTGGCTCAGTGGATAGAGCGTCGACCTGCGGACTGAAAGGTCCCAGGTTCGATTCTGGTCAAGGGCATGTTACCTTGGTTGCGGGCACATCCCTAGTAGGGGGTGTGCAGGAGGCAGCTGATTGATGTTTCTCTCTCATCAATGTTTCTAACTCTCTACCTCTCTCCCTTCCTCTCGGTAAAAAATCAATAAAATATATTTTAAAAAAAAAGAAGAAAGAAATCTATGGCTTTTCAAAGTGGGGATGTTGCTGGTAGAAGTGAGGTTCTTGTAGTGTTATGAGGAAAAGCATTTCCAGGGACCCACAAGAGAGGATGATTTATTCAGGAAGCAAAATTAAAGGAGTTCCCCAATGTCCCATCTTTCCATGGAAAATCAGGGCCAAAAGAGAGTCCATGTCCAGAGAGCCTGTGCCATCTTAAAGCTTAGGTCATCCCAGCACCCAGCTAGCATAGCTTGTGCTCCCGGCTGCAATAGGTTGCTGTGCTGTGGTATCCAGGTTCCCACAGCAGCTGCTAAGGCCACATGGCTACTGTGGTGAGAAGGCACTAATGCAGGGCAGGAGGTGAGTGCAGGTCCCTAGCAGGAGAGAGAGAGCTTTGTTCTCCTGGGGTTTTAACAAGGAGCTTTTCAAAGTAACCAATTAACTTCTTCCCAAGATTTCAAGAGCTTGCATTGGGCTTGCACCCCCTAGCCAAGGATCATTTTCCCAGGTTATACTGACAGGCCTCTATGACCCAGCACCTCTCCCTGTGCTATTTTGACTTCTACTGTGCATGTCCTTAACTCCCGCCCCCCCCTCCAACCCCGCCCCCCCTCACCCCCAGCAAATCCAGTACTGGAGGGAGAAGGGAGGAATGTTAATGCCCTTGGAGGGACAATGCTGCCATTTCTTGGGGTGTGAAGCTGTAGCTTCCTGGTGATGCAAAGAGGCCTCTGCTTCCCAGCTAAATATGCTCAACCATTTCTGAGTTCCTTGTGCTCTCTTCCTTCCAATAACTAGCTAGGGATGGTAACAGGTACACAAATAGATAAAGTAAGATCTCTAAAGCAGAGTCTGGCCAAGAGATAGAGACTTGGGAGTCATAAATGTCTGGGCCGGTAGTTCAGACCTTGGGAGTAGATGAAACTGCGTAAGGACAGCACAGAGAACAGGATGAGAAGGCAGCCAGAACAAAGCTCCACATAAAGGCGGCACTAAGGAGTTGCCAAAGTGCTTGAGGAGGAATGAGAGGAAGTGCTTGAGGAAGCCAGTGGTACTAGGAGGGCATGTTCAGTAGTGTCAAATGCAGACAAGCTAGCAAGAGGGTGCAGGGACCAATGGATTAGGCAGTAGGGAAGGTGCCAGAGTAGTTTCCCAGAGCCAGTTTGCTGAGGTTGACAGAGTAAGAGTCAGGCAAAGGGAAGGTCTAGACAAAATGGAGACAAGTCTTTCAGAAAGTTTACAGTAAAGGAAAGGAGAGAGGACCAAATGAAAAATGTCTTGTAGTTCATTTGCTTTTTGTTGGTTTTAAATGGGGACACATGAGAATATATGTGCATAGCGGGAAACTAGGGGAGAAGAAAAATATATAGCAAAGAAAAACAGGATAGCTGATGGAAGAGTTGGGAAGCAACGTCATCAAAACTACAGGTGGAGAGTTAGAACTGGAGAGGAGGGAGGACTTTTGTTCCCCTAAGACAGGAAGGGAGAACGCAGATACCAAGTGTAGCTCCAGAAACTATCGGAAGTTGTAGTCAAAAAGATTGTACTGCCTTAGGTTTGTGCTGCAGGCTCTACAGAAGACAACTCCCAAACTCAGCCAGTTGGCAAAGTGCACATAGATGCCTCAAGAAATTCATACGTGTATATTGGTCATTTGCTTATGTAAAAATCTAAACAAAAAATGAGTTTTTCATTCCCTTCCTATTTGGAGCATTTATTTACATTAAATTTTACATGCATGTTCCTAGAAGCTTGATCTTTTTCTTCTTCATTTGTTATGTGACAACAGGCTCTCACTTACTGATGTCAATCTCTAGCATTAAATTAGGGGTGGGGTGGGGTGCTGATCAGGGTATCTAGGGAAAATCAGGCTCATCAGAGTAATTCATTAAAAACCATAATCACAATTTTTATTATATCAACGCACTGCAAAATCATCACCATACTATTTACCATGGAACATAAAATAATGATTGTTAATTAAAAGTGGTTAAAAGTCACCTGGACTAACATTTGAAAATTAGTTGCATAGCAAACTTTGAATTTAATTTGAGTTCAAAGTATTAGGACATTGTGTCATTAATTTTTCAAACGTTTTCCTACCGAGGATAAAATATTCAGATATTTTCTATTTTTCCCAATTCAGTGTGAGAATACTGCAAATGTGTTAAAATTTTCGAACTAATTAATAGACTGCTTCTTTGAACCTGAACTTAATTTGTATGCTTATGCATAAAAATTGTTTAGAATAGGTAATAAGATTTTTTAAAATATTTAAAAGGAGAGAAAGATGCTCTTCAAACACATAACAAGATTATCCCAGCTTGGAATTGGGGATCAGAGATAATCTAAAAGTGAATATATCATTAAATCACAATTTACCAAGTTTTTAAAGTAGTTGCTTGACAGAAAAAAGAACATCATCAAATGCCTAAAGGATATATCTGTTCTATATATTTTTTAAATCACCTATTCTCTTCTTCCTTATAGTCACCACATTTTTAATGCTGGCATTCAATTTACCTAGCTGGTGTGTGCTTCAATGCATATTTTCTATATTCTTTTATCTCCTATTCAATTTTGCATTTGTACTAAGAATAGGTTTCCCAAAGCAGGCACTCTTTCAGCCACCTACTAATGACTTTAAATCAGGAACATCTTTTATCTGGATGTCCAGTACCATCTGTCCAAGTGCTTTGCCCTGTTGAACAAATCAAACAGAAAAGTACTGAGCGTGAAAAAAATTCTATTATAGTTATTAATGTTAATATCACACATTTAAAAAAGTGATTTCTATATAAATAATTTGGGTAAATAAGATTTTATTTAAAACTAGTGGCCTAGTGCACAAATTCATGCACATTGAAAAGAAATTAGAAGAAATATTTTAATATAGCTATTTGCCCTTTATAATAGAAGTGTCAGAGATGAAAGAAACTAGTAAAATGTATATGAAAATAATATATAAATTGATTAATAAACAATAACAACAAAGACATGATATAAAAACAACAAAAACATGATATAAAAACATTGATAAAAACAATGAGTGATAAATCGATTCATAATAAACAACAACAATCTAGCATTATTGTCGATTATACTGTCATCTCTGAGTCTTAATGCAATATCCGTTCCCCAGCCTTTTTCACCATGTGGGAAAAGAATAGAATATGTCATTGCATCTAGTGTAGGAAACAACATACTGATGTGTTTCATTTTAGTGGCATTCGGATTATTGGGATCTGGTTTACAATGAATGAGCAAGTCCCATTCAAAAGGAGGTCCCCCATCTTCGCTTCTGAATATGATGGCAACTTTGTTAGATGGGAATAATTATATCTACCCAGATCACTATTACGATCATATTTAATCGCCACTGTTACTTCTGTGCAACACTGCCACTTTCTTTCAGCTTCAGAATGTCAACAAAAATAACCAAATTCATGATGGACAATGACAGATCGAAAAACATGCATGCAATTGGTGCCAGCAAGAGCTTTATTTGTATCATGCATGTGTGAGTCAACTTAGTCTTTTATAGATATAGAACAAACTTGCTTAATTAGACCTGTTTTCTGATGTAGCTAAACTTTTTCTAGTCCAGTGAAGCACCCCAACTTCTCTTTCAGGTAATTGTCAGCAACACAGCAGTAAATAACAACACGAAGCACATTATTATTATAACTGTATTATTATGCAGGGAGAATAAAGGGTAAAATATAGTGGTGTTTGACTATATTCTCCGCAGTGAGAAAACCTGAAGTCATTCTCAAGGTCCACCATTTCTTACTTCTTTTCAGTCGGGTCAAGTTTCTAAGCTTTCTAAATCTCTGTTTTCCGGCTAATGAAAAGAAAATGGGATTCCACCGAGTTTCCTATCTACCTACTCCAGGACTTCTGTGAGGATCCAATGAGATGAGCCACGGGAAAAGGCTTCACAGACATTTGATTACAGTGTAAAGTGTTTCCACCTGAGGCTAGTTGTCTCTAGGGAGAGGAAGCCAGGTGTTGCTACTTGACATCATTACCTGGACGGTTGAACACTTAGCATATTAGCCTTTTATATAGATAGATAATGACAATAAATTTTAAAAACACATACTGAAGGAACACAGTTACTTGTATAACAAGTAAAGTGTATAACTAGCTAATGAATTCTATGTGAAGAAGAACAACATGAAAAAAGGTTAATGTGCTCAAAGGAGATACAGTTCCCAAATCAGAAACTCTCAATGTTTATATAGGAATGTAGTAGTTATAAGAATATGATAGAGAGGAAAAATTTAAGATGATAATAAGAATCACAGAGCAAAATAAACAGAAAAACATCACAGTAAATTGAACATATAAAGGAACTAAAGTATCTCTTTCCTGCTAGTGATTTCATTTAATCAATGATGCCTACAGGCTATTGGCTTAGATAAGACACATAGCTGAAGATGTGAGATATTTTTATTAACTTTACAATTCTCCCCTTATCCAATGGCTACTGTATAGCTTAGGATGACTTCATGAGTTTCAGATGATTCAAAGGATGGATTAAATAACAGGCAATATAGAAGCCTAAGGGATACAGTAGACTGAGTTAAGTTACTAATTTGAGTTCCTTCCTAAGATGACTCAGATAAATTTCAACCCAATTCCATAGTAGTACTTGGCTTCAGCTGTTACTGGACCATGATAGAAAGATAACTTTCTTTACTTCAAATAATGGCTCTCCTTAAACTATAGAATGCCAAATAATCTTTAGCTTTGAAATCCGGTCATAAACTATTTTCTTAAGTGTCGAGATACTAAGTGTTCTTTCTGCTATATGATCTTCAGATCCTCTAAAGTCATACTCATTAAAATGAAGATAATGATGTTTTACTAAGAAGTTATCCGAAAAGATTTTACAATTCTTTTCTTCCCCCTTCTGAACGGAGAACTCTGTAGGATTAGTGTATGTGTTATGGTTCATAGGATGCTGTTGATACAGGCTATGTCAACGCAACATAGGAAACAGACACAAAGAAAATGTTCAATGTTTAGATGCTTACCTGTGGGTCACTTCTCAGGGAGGCAGTGCCTCCACCACCGAGAGAATTTTTTAAAACGAAGTTTAACGCATATATCCCTGGCAAATCATATCTATGGAATTAAGAAAAGAAAGATGAATTCTAACAGTAGATTTAGTCATAGTTTCTTCCAGCCATCATCCTTACAGTTACTGGCTAGTCCTCCCATGTTTGGGCAATGGCACTGATACCTTTCACATGAGTAATGGGCTTCCACCAAACCTAAACTGACTTTTTCCCACTGTCATTGACAATTAGTGTGAAAATGCCTTATGCCATAGTACAACTTGCATTTTAACCCACAGAAACCTCCTTCCAGTTTCCTTGCTTCAGGTTCAGCACTACCGCTAGCACACTGCTACCAGCCTTAGAATTCAAAACTGTTTGCCAGGACACAAAACTGGTGTGAAAAGGAAGAAATCCACACATAGCATGTATTGTGTTAATCATGAGGCTGGTATTAGGGAGTATGTTTTTTAGGGGTTTTTTTTTTGCCTTCAAGCAATATTAGTCTTTGATCATGGACTTAGCCATATACCACAAAGTATATGCTGATGTCAGAATATCTCAATAGACAGTTCATAAGAGTGTTCACGGGGAAGATTTACTAATGATCACAAGACAAACTTATATTGTAACTTCTATCTGGTGCTCAATGTGCTTAGAGCATGGGAAATATGCATACAAACACACACACACACATATATACTGAGTGGCCAGGTTATTATGACCACCCCATCAGTGCTTCATTGACACTTCCCAAAATACTGAATATTGAAAACTTCCTAAACAAATACTCTCAAGTTTTTATTATTATTATTATTATTATTATTATTACTCACTTCAGTGTACTGATGGGGTGGTCATAATAATCTGGCGGGTTATAATAATCTGTCACTCAGTGTATATTAACTGTATGTGCTAATAGAATTTATATTAGCATATATATACTTATGCTGATGTGCACATGCATGGAAATACTTCAGAGAAGATCAACACTGTCCAGGGCAGTGTGAAACAGGGTATTTGGACCAAGATGTGTATCTGTGAAGGGAGTAGAGGCAGAAATGGGAAATTAAATGAAAAGGGAAAGCTAGCTGAATTGCTTGGATGTAGGGTAGATGCATTGTCATCTAATAACTATTTTTCTTCAGTTATGTTATTTTAAAACAAGTTTTTGTTAATTTCTTGAATTATAACATGGAAACGAATGTAATTGAAATTGTTCAAGGATGTATAAAAACAATAAAATACATATGGAAATAGACTAAATATCCTGATTGGTTGTAGAGGCACCAATATGAGTTTATACATACAACATTTGTTCTAGAATAAGGACTGACAGGAGACAATTTTTCATTTTGTTTTGACATCTTCATGCAGCATATATTGTGTCAATTGTAGGACTAGTATCAGGAAAGATTATTTTTTCCTCTTAAACATTTTACCTTCAAGGAACTGAAACAACTAGCCTTTGTTTTTCCCCCCCACTGTACAATTTCAGCGACCAATTTCATGTACTACTAAGTACATTCATTATTACTCAAATTAAAGCCATGTTTAAGAGCAATTTCTACATGTGTTATTTCAAACAAAGATTAATTTTAAATAAGAAAACCTGCCCAAGGCTACTATTTCCTTTGTAAGTTGATGACTGTTAATAATATAAATTTGACCCATTTTTTTTCTTTGTACATATAACCAAGTGCAATGTGGGCTTAATGAGGAAATAGAAAATTATATGAGAACTGTTGTTAATCATACTTTTATAATTAGTACAACTATATTCAAAACAGAAAAGTCTGCTCATAAATTTAAAGTGAGAACAGTATTCTCCCCAGACTTTTGCATTCATTGCTTGAGTTACTGGTCAAGTATTTCTGCCCTGCTGTGCAGCACATATACCATCATCCATGAAAATCTAGAGCAGTGGGTGACAAGAGAATATTATAAGGTCCCTCAGGAGCTCAAAGAAAAAGGAAATGTTGGCCAAGACGGATTCATGTTATTTAAAGTTGAATCCTTTAAGCATATCAGTGCTAGATCAGGGTAAAGCCCCAAACCACATGCCCCATACATCCCATTACACCTTGGACCTGTCTTTGTCCAACTCTGCAAGAAATAATGCGAAGGAGAGTCCCCTGACTGCAGAGGGGGAGGCTGCTGGGCATTCCCTTGTTGAGGTCAGGTGATGGAGTGGTCAAGAGCACAGGCTTGGGAGGCAGACTGCCTGGGTTTGAATCCTGGTTCAGCTACTGTGACTTTAGGTAAATTATCTCATTACTGTGCACTGTACTTCCCTCCCAGGATCATAGTTGTGAGAAAATATAAGTGAAAAATTAAGTGCTGAAAAACCCTGAGTGGGTTAGATAGACTTTCAATAAATAATATCTATTGAATGAATTGATAAAGCTCAATATGTGCTAACGAGGTCCTTCTACTTGCAGGCCATTGTGCTTGGGCTCAGGGGTGGACAAACTTTTTGACTCGAGGGCCACAATGGGTTCTTAAACTGGACTGGAGGGCCGGAACAAAAGCATGGATGGAGTGTTTGTGTGAACTAATATAAATTCAAAGTAAACATCATCACATAAAAGGGTACGGTCTTTTTTTTTTTTAGTTTTATTCATTTCAAACGGGCCAGATCCGGCCCGCGGGCCATAGTTTGCCCACGGCTGGCTTAGATGCTACTTCCTACATGGATCTTTAATATGGTTGATGGGAAATTACCTGATAAGCTTCTGCCAAGCAGATTATGTCCCGTGTGCTCACTTTTACGAATCAATAGTACATTGGGAACACATGTTCTATTAAGTGCTGGTAATATAAAGAGGTTTGGGACATCATCTCTAACTGGAGGGCCCTAAGTGGTACTACAGGAGCGAGGACATACACAACAAAGGATTGAAGAAGGTGGCATGCACTAAGTGGTAGCTATGTGGCATAGACAGAAAACATATTTGTGTGGGTACTGGCTTATTGACCCAACAATTTTCCACTGGATTGCTGTTTCAGTTCTGTATTGCTACTCAAGGCTTGATGTTTAATTGGTTTACTCCAGTTCGAAATGTTCTATTTTTCTGGTTTTTGTTTTATTGTCATATTATTGTTTTGTTTTATATTCCTAAAGAGTTTCAAAGCAACTTGAGTACTGGGTCCATATGTTAAATTTTTACTGTATTCCTAGTTCACTTCGCACAGGACATTACATGTTGGTGCTAAATATGTCTCTATCTCTGTATCTAAATCTATATCTGTGGTAGGCAGTTAGGCGTACAAGATTAGAGTAAGGACCTTCGACCAGGTATAGAAGGTCACCAGGGTGGAAAGTCCCTGGTGCCTAGTAACAGGCAAAACTTTGAAATCAAGGACCTCACCCCCTGGGGACCTTTCCTCCCCTAGCGTATCGCTGGTGACTCAATTTAGATCCCCTGACTTTTCATATTGCTGGTCATGAGGTTTGGATCTTTCTTTTCTCCCCGGGCATGTTGCTAGTCATGTGTGTGTGTGTTGGCGGGGACCCAGGACAATGAAGTTCTGATGTGACTCAGGTCTCAGTTCTCACCTCGAGGCCTCAGTTGTGTTTCATTCAGCTATAGGCTCAGAAAAGCAGCAAAACCCGACAAGCAATGGCTGATACCAGGACCAGCTCATTGACTAATGATCCCCTGTCCTAGCGCTGACCAATCAGTGGAGACCATGATCCTGAAAGGATACACCAAGAAAGCTGCTGAATATTCTATTGAGATCCTCCCTTAGGACCTTCCCTAAAATCTCTACCCTTAAAAACCCTTAGGAAGGTGGACCTAGAGAGTTCACGTGTGGCTTTCCTCTCCCCCTCACCTTTCCCCCAGGGTGTTACCATTACCTTCCTTTCTCCTAAGCTCCAAGAGCCCCTCTGTTGCCTCTGTAATTTGTTTCCTGAGTCCATTCCTTCTACTGCTCACTTTTTCTACCTCTGTGATTTTCTAAATAAACTTTCTCTTATAGTTTGGGTCTTGGCTCTGAATTCTTTCCTAGACAGAACTCAAGTACCAAGGTTGCTGCACCGAGGTCCAGTCTGACTCCACCAGTCTGACACCTGGTGTTGTTCTCACTGCCAACACATCTACAGCTAATACAGGAGCCAAAAGTTAATCCGCACACCAAGCTTTAACTTAGACAAGTCTTTTTTCAATTTAAACACTATACAGATTGTTCATTTTGCATTTCTACAACTGGAAGATGATGTCGACAACTGGTAGAAGAAATGGAGCAGAGCAATAGAAGTGATGAAAGAATTACAAAATAGATTTTATAAAAAGCTAAAGAAATTTGTGTTATTTAACCACAAGAAAATAATCTAATGAGTAAACATCACTCTACAAGGGATTGCTGGCAGATCATTTCTACAGAAAGGATACAGGTGATTGGCCTTGAAGTGCATCTAATATAGGAGAGGGGCACGAGAACTACATGAGACAATACAAGAAGAGAGATCATATCTAAAGTCAGTAGAGTTCAATGAATGAAAAGGGAGAAAGGCAAGGATATTGCTTATAAGGGTGCCATGAATCAGTATGTGAAAAGTGGACCAGTGCTTGGTAAATGGTGAACACCATACAAGGGCTAGATATGACCATGACTGCAATTGTTACCACTGTCATTAGCTAGTTATTAATAATAGGAAGAGCCCTGGCCGGTTTGGCTCAGTGGATAGAGCGTCTGCCTGCGGACTCAAGGGTCCCATGTTCGATTCCGATCAAGGGCATGTACCTTGGTTGCGGGCATATCCCCGGTGGGGAGTGTGCAGGAGGTGGCTGATCGATGTTTCTCTCTCATCGAGGTTTCTAACTCTCTATCCCTCTCCCTTCCTCTCTGTAAAAATAATCAATAAAATATATTTTAAAAAAATAATAGGAAGAAAGTAAAGGCCAGACATTATAAGCATGGCCATCTGGGCAGCTTCACCAGGAAGCTGCAACTTTATATTCCGCAGGGAATAACTAGTCTATTCCCTTGCAAATCTATGGGGAATGGGGTCCAACAAAGGGGGAGATGGGCATATGCACAGTGAGGTTGGGGTGATGGAAGGAAGGTACTTGCCTGTCAGTCTAACAGGCAACAACTTTCATTGGCAAGGAGGATGGACCTCAGTGCAAGCCTGTGAAAACTTGGGGATATATAATCCCCAGCGGAATTCTCTCCTCATCCTCTGGTTTTCTTTCTGCTTCCTTGCTCTGACCCCTGTTCCTCCAAAGCCATGTGGCCCTAGAAGCTGCATGGCCCACAGCTATGTGGACCCCACACACAATGGACTGCAGCTAGAAACACAGGCTAAGCTAGCCTGATGCTGGACTTTTTTCTTGGCAGGATGGAGGGAAATTGAACTTTGGAAACTCAGGCATTTGATTCCACGCAAATGAAAATCATTCATTATCTTGTGTGAATCTCAGAAAATTCTTTTCTCGTAACATCTCAAGAAGCCCATTTCCACCAGCAACAGGTGGGGATATGGAATACCTGACCAATACCTTAGTGAAGAAAAGCAAAGTGAAAGAGCAAGAGGTAAGAAACTGTATTAGCTAACCATGTTCCAAGGGTAATGCAGGAGCAATCCTTTCTAAAGTAAGGCAATAAACAAGGTGACTTCTATAATCTTTCACAATTCATGGTTATAACAGACTGGTATGTTATATGGAATGTACACACAAACACACACTATATATACTAGTGATCCAAGGGTCACAAATAATTATTGAGCATCTATCATGGCTTACCATCTATACTTGATGCCCAGAAGGAAAGAATGTAAGGATGGGATAGAGGAAGAACAAAACATACTTCCTATGCTGCAAGAAGCCGATGGTGCCAGAAAGTCGATACAACAACCTTAATACCAGATTGAGAGACATACATTCCAAAGCAAAGCAGAAGGCAATTAAAGAGTAAAAAGTAGAGATTAAGGAGGGTACCCAGGGGAATAATCATTTTGCTAGGATTTGTTAGGATACAGAGGAGTGTTTGGTTGTGAAAAGACAGATGGGAAAAAGGACAGGTTGCATTATTATATTTTTAAATATTTTTAAGTTGATTTTTGGAGAGAGAGGGAGGAGAGAGAAACATTTATGTGAGAGTGAAACATTGATCGCCTGCCTCCTGCATGCCCCCTACCAGGGATTGAGCCTGTAACCTAGGCATGTGCCCTGACTGGGAATTGAAAGGGCAACCTTTTGGTGCCCAGGACAATGGCCAACCAACTGAGCCACAATGGCCAGGGCTGGACTGGCAAGGCTTAAAGATGTAAGAGGCAGAGCTGGGGATGGGATGAGATGGGATGGGGTAGGATGGGATGGGATGAAACCAAAACCTTGGGTGGAGTTGTTCTACTTGAAGGGAGATGAAAGATGTCTTTCACTGAGAGGGGAGGAAGGAGAACAGGGTAGGTACAGATACAGAATTGTAAGGGAACGAGGGAGCAAATTTGAGTAAGTTTTCCTTGAATGATATGAAGAGTCTGAGAAAACAAAAATATGGAATTATGGCAGGAATTGAATGGTTTGAGAGGAGCAGAAAAAGTGTTAGGGCAGTTACCAGTAGGAGTGTAGCTGGGAGTCAATGAGATGACTACAACTATTGCCAATCATGGCAGTGCTATGGGCATTCTGTGCAGGGTAATTCCTGGTTGTGCAGGACTGTCATATGCATTGTAGGAAGTTTGCAGCACTGGCTCCTGTCCACCCAGTGCCTATACTGCTCCCCGTCACTATGATAACTGGAAAACCCCACTCATTTCCTAATGCCCGGGGGTTAGGAATCACTTAGCTGGCATTAGACGGGTTAACATTATAGCATAATCGCATCACACTAATATGTCGCCTTCCCCAGGAACACTCAGGGACCTAAGATCAGAGTTCAATAGTTTTAAAAAATTTAATAAGGAGACAGTAAAAGAAATATTCTTAGGTTGTCCCCCATTGATTGAGAAATGTGTATCATCCCCAACCTACTTCAATAGATAAGTTCCCAGTAAGAGCAATTGCTAAACACACATAGCATAGTAGAGCCAAATACAGTTGCACAGGAGATTATTCATTGCTAACTAAGGCATTTTTATAGGCTATGTATGTCTAAACCCTGATCCAAAGCCTGGTTTTATAAGCTTGGCCCTTTGCCCAGGGAGGGATCAGAGTAAAAATTCCAGAAGGAGGCTAAAGTAAATCGGAAGACTTAGCTGCAGAGGCCCCCTGCTGAGGATGCCAGGCGGACTGTTACCCCTCACAAACATGGTTTGGGTAGTTTGAAAATACAGCGGATGATGTGCCCATCAGACACAGTCTTAGAAATACTAACATAATGACAGAGCCATCTATGAAGACTTGTTTATCTGCCCACCCAGAGAAAAGCCCTTGGCTAGGTGATTCCCTTAGTTAGAGCATCATCCCATAAACCAAAAGGTTGTAGGTTCGATTCCTGGTCAGGGCACATATCTACGTTGTGGGTTCAATCCCCAGTCAGGACGTGTATGAGAGGCAACCGATCAATGTTTTTTCCTCTCTCTTTTTTCCTCTCTCTCTAAAATCAATAAAAACATATCATTGAGAGAGGATTGAAAAAAAAAGAGAAAAAGTCTAAGTTATATATAGCCTCTTATTAAAATAAACTTATAGAAACTGATATTTACTCAGAGCCAGACCTCAGCTTCTGCTTATCTGGCTGTCTCGTGTTCCTTAAGAATTCCTCAACATGCTTTGCTAACTCATCTGGTCATGACCTCACTATGACTATGCCAGTGGGCTGCAACCTGCCAATAGCTTCACCCTATTTTGACCCAAGTCTACTGGATCATAGCCCTCCATTACACCTTGCTCCAGTGATTCTTCAGTTGCAACCTCAGCCTATTTCAAATACTCCTCCCCCTCAGAACACTGATAGTGATCTGTTTTGTATTGGTCCCTGCCTGTCTTCCTCAAACTCTTGCATAAACCTTCTAACTGCAATGCCCTGCCTTCTCATCTCCTTTATCAAAGTGTAGCAGCACTTTCCGTTCCCACAGCTATTGACCTGACATTTCCAAACATCTAAAGTAAGTCAAGACATGTCAAAAGATCCACCTTCAGTGTGGAAAGTGCCAGTGGTTTTACTTTAGGGTGAAGGAGTGTCAAAAATGATGTCAAACCTCACTGTTGCTTTTAGTCAGGCATAAAACACTAATGAACAAAACAGAGAAAACGCTCGCAATGTGTTTTAAGCAGGTTCTTAAGACCATATTCCAAAATCAAAGACTACAGAAAAGATTATTTATATAGAAGTAGTAGCATCTATGAATGAAGCAAAGTTTTGGAGTTAGGTATCAAAACACTGTAAGAGATAATATAAAATAAAATTTCTTAAAAAACACCAAAATCTAAGTTGTAAATATATATTATACCACCTTTAACTCTGAATGTTCTGATTGTTCATTTTGGATAGTAAATAAATTCATCTAATTATGTCAGTCTTCTGGTCTTAGATTAAACTGTTAAGATAACTGAATTTCTAAAAGTCAGCTATTAGAAAATAAATAGAACTTAAAGATAATGAAATAGAAGTCTGATCAAAAGAAAAACTGTATAATTTTTTTTCACAGAAAATAATCACCTTTAAAAATATATAACATAATCATATCAAATAATACCTAATTAATTTAATTTTAAAATATATTGCATATTCTTTTTAAAAACTGCTTAATTTTAAGAAAATTAGACTATTTACATTTTACTTATTCATCAATTTCTCTGGCATATGATTCAACTATATGCAACTATATTAAGATTCTCATACTGAGGCAACACCTAAAGGGCCAATATACTATTTCTCTCACATTTTTCCCTAGACCATGTCACACACAGTTCTCTCCCATCCCCTAGGTTTGATTTTTGGACCACCCAATTTTAGCATATGGTAAAGGGTCTTATGTTGACTTTTAGCTGCTTCAAATTTTGTCATTTTAGTGTTCAAAGAGTGTCAATTCAGCATGACCACCAATTCATTTTGAAAGAGAGCATTCCTGTCTTCTGTTATTTTGTATCTCCCATAATATGGGCAAAAGAAAAAAGTTCTAGAATCAAAATAAAAGCCATTGATCTCCTAATTCAAAATCAATATGCTCAACTATTATAAGCTCCACATATAAATGTGGTAATTCAATCACTTAAGTTAAAACATACCTTGTCACCAAATTTTCTCCAGGTTGTTTTTTATGCAGAATATGTTGGAAATAATCTTCTATGGCTTGAGCAGTTAGAAATTTTTTTAAGTATGGGTAGTAGAGAGGGTGCCGTGCTATGATGCCTATTGTATACAAAACATCACGTTACTAAGCACATATGCTGAAGGGTGATCAAAATGACTTGCTAATTTAAAGTATCTTAATCTGATTCTGTGAGGATATTGTGTATGGGATGGTGAAAGGGAAAGGGGTTTGAAGAGATAGAGTGGACAAACTATTGTCATCAAAGTGACTCTCTTGCTTTGGCAATATATAGGGTTTCTCTAATTTAGGGTTGCCAGATTTAGATGTCTAATTTAGGACATATCTAAACATTGCATGGGACATACTTACACTAAAAAATATTCATTATTTAATTGAAATTCAAATTTAACAAAGCATTCCTTATTTTGTCTGGCAACTCTAATGATTTCAAAGGGCATTATGAAATTCTAAGAATTTACTTTCATTCTTTCCATTTTTAAAACTAAGCATAAGCCAAATAGTTGCAATTTGAGAAGAGAGGATGGAAGATGATGCAAAATCAAACAAAAATATGAGAATATTAACTTCAAAAGACTATAAGTTTCAGAGGCCAATGACCTTGACAATCATGCTCACTGCTCTATTCAACCGGTGTGCCATGGCACACTGATGTGGTGCAATTTTTTTTTTTTGGTGCAAAATTTTTAAAACATGCAATACCTGACTATTTAGTCAGGGGCACTGACCTCTTTTCCCTTAAATTGTCAAATTAAAAAAATTACAATACCCAACACAACAATAGCCCTCTGATGTGAATGCCCTGTCTTGAACCATAAATACATAGGTCATATAATGGAGCTGCAACTTACTGGTTCATTGCAAAATAAGGATGCATCTGCTTGGCTAATACTTGATACCAGAAATCCTTATATGCAAGTAAAGGCACCTGACTTTTAAAAAGTCATTTTGGAGCAAAACAGGTAGGTAACTATTATTTCTATTTTTGCTGTTGTTGTAAATCAATCAAAATTATACCTATATTTTTTTGTCAGGTTGGCAAAAAACATGTTTTCTGGTGTGCTGCAGAATTTTAGTAATTAGTTTATGTGTGCCATGAGATGAAAAAGGTTGAAAATCATTGTTCTAGGGATTGTTCAGAAATAAGAGGTCGGCTAATCCATTTCTTTTAGTTACCTCAGCTCAGACAGCTCAAATAAATACAGCAGGTAATGGTGAAGATGGAGTACACCAACTGCCTGTGGCCATAATCCTGATAGCCTTCCAGGAATAGACAAAGTGTCAACGGAGTCATTGTTTATAAGATTTCAGATATAGGCACCTGTATTTGTTCACCTGTATTCTTTTCAGTTTGCAAACTCACTAGACAATGGAGATTTAGGTCTACTCTGGTTTTAGATATATTATTTTTACTAAAAGACAAAGGCATTTACAGTCCACTTAAAGACATTAATTAAGTGACAGTATGGGTATTGGGATTTCAGTAAAGAGATGAGTAAATGGCATTCCAAGAGGTTAAAAAGGAAAAGAACCAGGGAAGTTATTCTAAGGAGAAAAGAAAAGGATCTGGCAATTTCTGGAGAGAAAAAGGAGAAAGGATTTTTAAGAGGTAGAGAGGTATCCTTTAAAAATATATGAAGAAAGGAAATATATATGAATCAGGAAAAATAGAAGTGTGATAATAAGGTATTGGACTATTTCGAGAAGGGAAAAGAAGATTAAAAGGGAGCTCTTGTCAACAGGCCAATTCATACAATAAGTGCCTTATTATCATACTATGATATAGGAGTCAATCTTCTGGCCCCAAGTATGTTTAAATTATTTATCTCTTTGTGAAAATGTATTATTGAAAGGCACAGTTCATCTGAAGCACACATTTTTGTTTGTTATATCAGTAAGAAAATAACTAGATGGCATTGGACAACTCAATATACCTTCACCAATGCAGTAAACAAAACTTCCATGGTTTGAATCCAAATGAACACTTGTTAAGTGACTGAAACCAATTTTAGAGATGTGAAAAATGGCTTTAAAAAACAAAAACGTACCTATATTTGCAGAGTTGCCTTTGTCCCCACTTCTTGTGTAGGCCAGATCTTCTAAGCGATATGTCCGTGAGCCACTTGGTAGATCTACCAATGGAGGTAGAAAAGGAAACTGAAGATGGTCATATGGAATGTGGTTGTTTTAACAGGAGAGTTACATACAGCAGCTTAATTGCTCACAATCGGATCATCCCCTTTGGGAAGGCTCAGCACGCTAGGTTGGATCTGTTTCTTCAGAGTTCTAAGAACACTAAACTTTTATGAAGCATAGATACATGTTCTGCTTAAAAAATACAATTTTTATATAAAACCCAAAATAAAATGAGTAGGTGACAATGTTAATTGAGACATCCATAGCACTGTAAATGGGTATAACTGCATAACTGCTAGAAAGTTAAAGATCTACAGTTTTGTTTAACAAATGGGAAGCAGAAAATTTCAGATTTTTTATCTTTATGATGATTGTGTGGGAATAATAACTCTTTAAGACTCTATATCTCATCTTCATAAGAGACTAAAACTGTATATATCCTCACTAAGATTGAACAGCATTTAATTTAATTTAATTCTGGGAATCATGAAATAATTACCAGTTCTCCAAGATCAAGGTAAAGAATATGAAAAACCAGTAAGAGCTCCTAAAAAATGAACTAGTAAGAAAACCATTTCTTTCTTTTTTAAAAAACATATTTTTATTGATTTCAGAGAGGAAGGGAGAGGGAGAGACAGAGAATCATTGATTGGCTGCCTCCTGCACGCCCCCTACTGGGGATCAAGCCTGCAACCCAGGCATGTGCCCTTGACTGGAATTGCACTAGGGATCCTTCAGTATGTAGGCCGATGCTCTATCCACTGAGCCAAACCAGCTAGGGCAAGAAAACCATTTCAAACAAGTGGGAATAAATTCTCAATTGTAAAATATCTTCAAAGCTCATTTCATAAGCATAAGGTAATTAAAATTAGGCCAAGAAGCACATGGACAGTTATAGGATAAACCCTTTGAATATATAGGCAGTCTTAATGGCACAGTCTAGTAAGCCAAGACAAGCAGAATCTAAAAATCACCTGGACTCGTGTTGTGAAATCTTTCCTGAATGATGCCAGGAACCCACATTACTGCCTGGCCCTAGGCAGACCCGTTCAGGGCCAGGCCCCCTTTCTGGTAACGCTCACTCTGCACAACTACAATATGCACAAATTTCTGTTACCAAGATTTAGTTGATTAACACCAGCCCCCTAACAACACAATTCCTGTTTTCAGTTACTAAGGAAGGTTAGTAAGAAGCTAGAAAAATTCCTCCGTAAGTGGAATAGGCAAATTGAGACAGATAGCTGGAAAAAACCCCAAACAAACCAACAACTAACTGAACAATTTAAAGCCTCGTACAAAAGGTCACCAGGGTGGAAAGCCCTGGGTGCCTAGCAAGGGGCAAAACTGAGAAAAACAAGGACTTCATCCCCAGAGTAACTTCTCCCCGCCTGACTTCTCCTCCCTAGGAGATAACCTCTAGGCCTCAGTTGTATTGCAGCTCCAGGACCAGAAAAGCAGCAAAACCAGACAAATGACTCCTGGCTGCCTCAGGACCAGCTACATTGACTAATAACCCCCTGCCCTGGCACCGACTCATCTGTGGAGACCATGACCCTGAAAGAGCACACCTAGAAAGCTGATGAATATTCTATTGAGACACTCCCTTCACATGTCCCCTAAGACTTCCTGCCAAAGTGTCCTACTTGCCACATCATCTTCACAGATGCTAAGATACACTGGAAGAATAAAAGTAATGAAAAATGCAAAGAATAACTACTGTGGCAGAACATACCCGATAGAGAGTATGAACGTACCTTTTAGGTCATCAGCTATCTTGGGTAAATCTGGTGAAGCCAATGTGTCCTGTGTAAAGGTGAGATCTTCATGGAAGGGTTCAATATGCTCTCCATTAATCAGGTGGATATCAATCTGAAAAAAAAAATTGTTAAGCCAGGAAATGGGGAAAAAAGATTGTATAAATAAGAAGGGACTTATAATTTCGTTTAATTGGAATATTAATTGGTCATTTCTTGACTCCCACCGTAGAAGTTCTGTTTTTGAAACTAATTCTAGTTTTTTTTTAAAAGTTCTGCTTTTATGGGACTACATGAAGCATTATTACTTTCGCATTCTTAGTGCAAAACAAACTAACAAACCCCACAACCTACAAACTTCTCTTCTGCTTCTGGTAAGTATTCTGATCTCAGTTCTGCCTCTGCTTGCTGATGGGGAGGAGAGAGTGACAATGAACTCTGATAGTCTGGGGCAAACTGAGGTGAAGAAGTACTAGCAAGTAGAGCCCTGAGGTGTCAACTGGAATGAAAGACTCTTTGTTTCTGGTATATTAATGGCTGCCTCATCAGTGCAATTTCCCTGAAAGAGCATTTCCAGCTCCCGCGCCCAGTCCTCAGGGAATTCATCTGAGGCACACCGCTCAAGTGCCAGAGCCTCACAATGGAGCGTTCAGTGTCATCGCTAGTCAGCCTCATCTTTGTATCAGGGTGTGGTGAACCTGGCTCACACACCCATGTACAGTCAAGTCACACTGTGGCAGGGAATCTAGAAAAGCATGTCTTAAATTTACTTATATGAATGCATTCATTTATATAAGCACATAAGGGTGGAGACATGTCTTTTTCTCGTTTTTGTCCTAATGTCTAGCACAGTCAGCGCCTGCAACATACAAGCTCTCAATAAATGTACTAAACTGTATGAGTTTTAGTTACTTCCAAGGTGGCCCTTGCAATTAGTTTTGATCTTCTTCATGACCAATGTAGGTGCGGTGAGAATCCGAACCATGCTGTATAGAGTAGGCAAGCAATAACTATTAGCAGGAAAGGTATTCTGCGCTTACCCCTGAGTTATTTTTTTTGTATCCATGCTGTCCCATTAAACAAAGGGAAACCTTATTCTCCTCCCATCCTGTCCAGCCTGCTTAAAACTGCTGCTTAGTTTTTCTTTTTAAGGTTACTAAGGAAAAACTGAACGGTGCCACTTGTTATTTTAATATGCAAAGGGTTGGTAGCTTGTTGTTTCTTGCCATTGCAAGTTCTGGACAAAATCAAGATCCATGGCAATAACAGATTTCAATAATTTTAGATGGTAATTTGGCAAAAGTGGATATGGCCATACTGAATGCTATCAGCAGGTGCTTACTTACAGGTTCTTATTCAGCATATGTTCCTTCCAAATGTTGAGAAATGTACTGAAGCAGATACATTTGAATATTTGTTCTGATAAGCTATCTTTCAAATACTTCCAGATGGAGACTTTCATTAGCTGGTAATTAGCTTAGTATCCATTTCCCTATTGTTTATGACTCCATAGTAACCTATGAGGAGCTAACTAGGGGTTATCTTGTTATTAATGGGTGAAGAGGAAGCTTGTTGAAACCAATTGATAAAAGTGAGTTGTAAATCTCTTTTAAAAATTAGCTTTACATTTATGCCATATATCGGCAGCCTTAAAAACTCCTTTTCAACTTGTTATGCCACAAATTTCCAAATTTATGGTAACTATATAAATAATCTGCAGGTGGCGTTGATTGGTGATACTACCCACTCCATTTCCATCATGAAACAGTTCCATCATTTCCCATAACAAGACTGGGTCACCTCATGTTTCAATATTATCGCTTATATAAAAGGCCCATAGCTGTCACGCTGTAATGCTGTCGTGACCAAACGAGCAGCGGCTCTCGCAGAGGGTGGGGCGGGGCCCCCGCAAACTACAAGTGGTGAGGGGCGGGACGGCCAGCTGAGGCAAGTGGAAGCGAGCTACTTTCGCATGATTTCATGTGCGCTGGGCTTCTAGTTGTAATTGAAAACTTGGCAGCCATATTGATTCAGGTTACTATGAATCCCACCAGTGGAAAACATTATTTTGTGTGATTGTATTTTTTTCCAACTCTAAGCATTTATAGTCCAGAAACTCCTACATAGATAATATTTTCTATGGCTTTTGACAAAGATGAAATAACTCTAAGAAGTTTGTTTTTTGGGGAGAGTAAGAGTCTCACATACTAGTACTTCTTTGGAGTTAAAGGAAAAAATAGAAAGGGAAAAGTAATTATTCAGAGAGATAGCAGCTTACAAATTTCCAGAATGAATGAAAGAACAAATTCTCTCATGCAATGAAACCCAATGAATTCCAAACCAAGTAAAAAGAAATGGATACCTAGGCACAACATGTGGAAAGGACAGAATGCCAAAGAAAACAAGAAGCCAGAAAAGAAAAGAGACATTAACCACTGAAGGGCTGCCAAACGGACAGCTGATTTTTCAGCAGCAATAGTGGGAATAATCCACGTGTTATAACTTCCATCCTACAGATATTCCTAGTAAAATTATCTTCCAAACTTAGGGGAGAAAAAAAAAACCCTCATTTTTAAGACTTTATTTTTTGGACAGTTTGATTTTCACAGTAAAATTAAACAGAAAGTACAGAGAGTTTCCATATACCATTATCCTCACACATGCATACCTTCCCCACTATCAGCATCCTGCACCAGGAAGGAACATTTGTTACAATCAGTGAAGCTGCATTGACACATCATTATCACCAAAGTCCATAGTTTAAATTAAGGTCCTTTATAATCAGTTTGTTGACATCCACAAAATAACTTGCTGGGATTTTTATTATGATTGCACTGAATCTATAAATCAAGTTGGGAAAAAGTCTCTCTTGATAATATTCAGTCTTATCTGTGAACACGGGCTATCTCTCCATTTATAGTTTTTTTTTATTTCACAAGTTTTACAGTTTCCTTCATATATATCTTATACATATTTTGTTAGCTTTATATTTAAGTGTTTTATCTTTTTATGCCTGCTCATGTAAATATTTTTTTTTCAAATTTCACTTGTTCATTGTTGGTATATAGTAAAAAGACTGGCTTTTGGATTACTTGTATCCTGCAAACTTGCTATAATTGCTTGGGCATCTAAATATACATCTAAATAATTCATGAGATAAAAGGGAACATAATAGAAGTTAGAAAAGAAAATGAAAACATAACATTTTAAAATATGTAGAACCTACATATTATAGCACTTAGAGAGATATTTATAGCCTTAATTTCCTATGTGAAAAGAGGAAAGATTGAAAATTAATGTGGTAAGCACTCAACATAAGAAATTAGGAAAAGATCATCAAAACAGATACAATGAAAGTAGAAATAATAAAGGCAAGAGCAAATACTAATAAGAAGTAAATTTACAAGAAAGCAAATAAAAAAGCCATGTATGGTCTTCGAATGAATAATAAAAAATTGAGTATGGCTGCAGTGGCTCAGTGGTTGAGCTTCAACTTATACTAGTAAACCAGGAGATTACGGTTCAATTCGTGGTCTGGGCACATGCCTGGGTGGTGGGCTAGATCCCCAGTCGTGCAGGAGGTAGCTGATTGATGATTTTTTTCTCATTGATGTTTCTATCGCCCTCTCCCCCTCCCTTTCTCTCTCTGAAATCAAATTTTTTTAAAAAGCATTAAGAAAAGATAGAACACACACACACACACATACACACACAAACACACACACACACAAACCCAGAAAAAAAAGGGGGGGGCAAAGTATACAAATGGGCATTTCCAGAAAAGCAACAGGATGGGTAATAAACACATGGAAAATGCAAATTGAAACCACATGAAATATTACTTTGTACTAATCACACTGGAAATAATTCAAAAGTTGGCTAATACCAAGTGTTGGAGAGACTCTGAAGGGATGAGTGTAAATTAATACTTGGGAAAACAAGTTGACATTATCTAGAAACAAAGATAAAGAGGAACATACCCAATGATTCAACAATTCTACCTCTAGGTACTACTAAATACCTAGAGAAACTTTTGCACATGAGTACCAGATGTACAAGGGTGTTCAAGGCGGTCATGTGTGTAAGAGCAAAACGGACAAACAAAAACCTACAAAAATGTCAGCGTTCCCGTAAAACAAAAATAAGTTGGCAAACTATAGCATATTCATAAAATGAAACTCTATAGTGATGAAGAATGAATAAATGATTACTCTATGCCTCAACACTGATAAATCTCAGAAAATAATTTTGAGTGAAAAAACAAGCTAAGTTACAGAACAAAAGAGCTTGATTCCACTTATATAAAGTTCAAAATTATGTAAACTCAGCAATGGATTGTTTAGAAATGTATAAATAAGTGGCAAAACCATATAAACAAGCAAGAGAACAATAAACATAAAATTCAAATATATTATTAGCAACCTGAAGGGAAACCCTGCAACTGATTTCTACCTCCCCTCCCACTGCCCCACCATATGGCTACAGTTTAGCAGGGAACGCAGAGCCGTGCAAACTGGACATTGAAAAAGCATCAGATAAACTGGTCTGTGTTGAATTTCATTGCCTTTACTTCCTGACTTCACAAATTACTTTTGTTTCAAAGAATGGAGTGGTAGTAGAAATAAAAGGTAACTTTTTTTTTTTTTTTTTTTACTAACAATGCTCCAATTTCTCTTCTCTCCCCTTGTGTAGAAACTATTCGGTCTATAAACTGTACAGTTTTTTTTTTAGGAGCCAAAGCTTCACTAAGAACCTTTCAAAAACTGCCTCTCTGAACCTTTCAGGTGAATAATAATAATTTGGTTACACAAATTACCTGATGGAGACTCTGTATCTGACAAATCTACTCTTAATTTGGATTAAACTATCCATGATCACATCCATGATTAACATAACCTGTGTGCATTATGCTTCATTTCAGTAGATGCATTTCTAAATAAAACTGGAATCACATTTTGAAAGAGCTTATTTTATATGTACCAGAGTTCTCAAATGTAATTGTGACATGCAGACTTCTCATTAGGAATCCCTGGTACAGTTAGTTTATAATTATACCGTAAATTTCTTTTTGTATGAATTTATATTTTCCTCATGTCTATGGGCTACACTTTTCAGGAAGAGTAGTAACTCTATAAGACAAAGAAGCTAATTTCTCAGTGGTTCATTGGATTAGCACATTATTCAAAGATTCTTTGGGCCTTAATTAAGAAAATAAAAAGAACTTAATTTGAGTAAAAAACAAAATAGGCTTCTTTGGATTATAATGCCTTCTAACATCCTTGAGCTCTTGGTTTTTAAGACAATGTCTGACAGGTAACACAAAGAAAAAAAGAAAAATAAGGAGAATTTTTTTCTATGAGGTATCATGAATCCCAAATAAACTAGTCACCACAAAGCTTAGGAATGCCAGAGAAAAAGCAGAGCAGTGTATTTTTCCAGATTGCATATTTTAGTTTCTTTCAGCCATTCTTAGTCAGAATGTTGCATAAGTTCTCTGAGAGATCCAAATGCATTCCTTTCATAATTGAATACTTACAGTTAATAATTAATGTCACCATTTATTATAAAAGTATACCACACCCACTTCTGAAAAGGCCTGAGGAAGTTTACATATTAACACATAGTTCAAAGGCACACTATTATGTTTAAGTACTAAATAAAATGGACTCTACAAAATATAGAGAAATGGATGCTATCAAGGACCAGTCATGTTCTGCCTTTTTTGAATGGCTCCCCACTGCAGATACTACCTCCTCCCTATACCCTTCAGTGGAGACTATTTGTTCTTGAACTTACCACTTAACCAACAGGAGCTAGCTGGGCCTGTCCAGCAAAATTGACCGGTCCGTGACGTGGGTAAGAGTGTGAACTTTGCAGCCTAGATTGGAATCATGGCTTTGTACTTTGAGCAAGTTATTAAAAGTCTCAGAGCATCAGTTTCCACACTGGAAAATGGGGATAATAATAGTACTTACCTCATAGGTGAGAATTAAATAAGTTTAGTAAAATAAAATAACTTAGAACAGAAGCTGGCACACCATAAGTGCTAAATGACTATTAGCATTTGGCAATTCAACCTTCCTCCAATTCCTTATAAAAACTCTCCCTTTGGCTTTAACCAGTTTGGCTCGGTGGCTGGAGCGTTGGCCTGCGGACTAAAGGGTCCCAGGTTCGATTCCGGCCAGGGGCATGTACCTTGGTTGCGGGCATATCCCCAGTGGGAGGTGTGCAGGAGGCAGCTGATCAATGTTTCTCTCTCATCGATATTTCTAACTCTCTATCCCTCTCCCTTCCTCTCTGTGAAAAATCAAAAAACTCTCCCTTTAAAACTTGTACATTTCAAATTTATTATCTTCCATCCCTTCTTGTTGTTCTCCTCATTCCCTGACATGTATCAGAGACTTTGGAACATGGCTTATGGTTTTTCCCTCCATCCCAAATCTGCCATCTGAGTGGCCCTTCCGATATCCAACACTTTGGCTTCTTCAACTCTAGTAACCTTCATTTCCACACAGATATCAACAACTCATCCTTTTTCCCTTGTTATTACCTGGAGCTACTCCACTTGTAACATCTTTAACCGCACTGCTCAACTTTCTTACCACAAGCTCCTGTTACCCTCATTGTTCCAACTATAGCTGCTTACCCACCAGAACTGGAATGAAGTCCTATCCTTGCATTCCACATATTAGACTTTCTTCTGGTTGGTTTAGTCCTTCAACCTGTCTCTTTAAATAATGCCTCTGCCTGGCTTGTGTGCCTCAGTTGCTTGAGCATTGCCTCATGAGCCAAGAGGTCACCGGGTTGTGGGCTCAATCCCCACTAAAAGACATGCAGGAAGCAGCCAATCAATGTTTCTCTCTCATAGATGTTTCTATCTTTCTCTCTCCCTCTCCCTTCCTCTCTCTCTGAAATCAATAAAAACACATTAAAAAATAAACAACACATCCAACTTCTCACTTCTCTTGCTCCATTTTCCTTCTGCAATACTTACCCAAATGTGGATTAATCCAGCCCTTCTTACTCTTAAAACCACAGTGAAGCACTCACCTATGTGCATTGGAGCCCTTAACTCATGTCTGGCAGCTTCCTCCAGAGCCCCGTGCCAGATCTGCATTTCTTGCAAACTTTCTCATGTCTCATATCTAATCACCAAGTTCTACCTAAACCACTTCCTAAATATCTCTTGAATCTAAAAGCTCTGGTTTATTTTTCTCTGCGTTTCTTATCTCTAATCATTCCCTTTCTCTCCTCCCAAAATTTTTCTTCTCTGCTGCCAAAGTGATGTTCCTGAAGTTCAGGTGCCATCATGTTCCCTTACTCTCCTTCAGTAACTCCCTACTGCTTTCTGATATATGCCTCATACCACAGCTTGGCCCCAAGGCCCTCTGTGACCAGGGCCCTGCTCACCTCTCCAGATTTCTTTCAAGATTTGTCCAACCTGTATTCTATATACTCAATTACTTGTACTTCCTTCATTGCGCCATATTCTCTCAGAACCCATGCATCGTCTATGCTACCTCCTTTGCAAAGAATGCCCTTTTTTGTTTCCAACCTGGATAATTCCTTCTGGCTTTTTAGGGTTCAGTTCAAATGTCACTTCTTGTCAGCTCCAGTGCAGAGACTTCCTTGACCCTGCCTCCTTGACCTTTCCCTGACTCTTCTCCTTTCTAACCAGGCCGATGGACTGTCCCTCTTTGTTCTTCCTTGTGCATTTTCAAGTATTTCCCATTGCTCCCCAGTAACTAGCACCAGTAAATAGTGAATTCATGAATAAGTGAAGACATCCCAGTTCCGTAAAATAATGATAAAAACTAGAATAACGTTTCATTTTATATGTCCATTTAGCAAAGAGATATTTAAAATTGAGGCGTAATTAGTTTTGACAATGTCAATAAGTAAGAGTGACTGGTTGGTGGCTCAAGTTCTGAAGTAACTGGCTGAGTAAAAAGCAAGGACATGATTGACAGTTACCACTTATTGAGCAACACTGGGAGCACAGCAGTACATTAGGCATCTAAGGTGGTCTCCTAGCTCCCCTCGTGGCAGCAAGAAGACTGCAACAGCTCTAGGCATCACATCCCCCTATATCAGTGGTTCTCAACCTGTGGGTCGCAACCCCTTTGGCAGTCGAACGACCGTTTCACAGGGGTCGCCTAAGACCATCCTGCATATCAGATATTTATATTACGATTCATAACAGTAGCAACATTACGGTTATGAAGTAGCACCGAAAATAATTTTATGGTTGGGTCACAACATAAGGAACTGTATTTAAAGGGCCAGAAGGTTGAGAACCACTGCATATCAACACTTAGGAGTCAGAGAAAGGTCTGCTTTCCCCTTGTGTTTCTTTGTTAAAGAGGCAAACAAAACAAAATAAAACAAAACAAAATCCTTTCCCAGAACCTTCGCCCTACCGCCAACCATAAGAATATTTCCCTGCCCGCTGGTGTGGCTCAATGGTTGAGCATCGACCTATGAATCAGGAGGTCACGGTTCAATTCCTGGTTAGGGCTCATGCCCGGGTTTCGGGATCAATCCACAGTGGGGGCTGATCAATGATTCTCTCTCATCATTGATATTTCTATCTCTCTCTCCCTCTCCCTTCTCTGAAATCAATACAAGTATATTTAAAAAAGAAAAAGAATATTTCTCTCCAATCTCAATGACCCAGCCAGGTTATATTTCAACTGGTCACAGGCAGGCATGGGTAATGAGAGCATTATTTTAGCTTCGACCAATCAGGATTTACCTGAGTCACCTGAGGGAATAGGACACTAAGACAAAATTAGGACTTTGATGAAGGATGAGGAGGGAAATGGCTGTTGGGAAGGCACCTAGCTGTCTGCTCAAATTAGTGTCATCATCAAATGTCAGATTTGGAGTCAGGCACATCATAATTTGATTCCCATGTCTGCCATTTTCTAGTTGGTGTCTGTGTGACCTTGGGCAATTCTTTTCTCCTCCTTGAGAATCAATTTCCTCATCAATAAAATGGGGATAGCAAAACCTAACTTTTAATATCACTGTGAAGATTAAATAAAATAGCGCACATAATGTTGCCTAACACAATAAACTTCATTCATTAAAAATATTTTTTGACACCTATGATATGCCAGGTATTGTGCTGGGGCTACAGTGGTAAATAAGATAGATATGATTCCTCCCTTCATATAATTTATTAACATTAAATGTTAGTTTAAAAAAACTCCCTAATTTTGCTGACAAAAAAATTCAGAAGCACTTGATATTTTGACAATCACTTTTTAAAGAAATACATTGTTTTCAGGCATGTTTATGGCTCCTAAAGTTTTATGTGTGAAAGTTTAGAAACATTTATTTTTCCTTTTTTTTCTGTTTAATTTAAATTATCAGAGACATTTACATTTTATGAATATATTTTCACTGTGAGTGTTGTCCAGATTCCCAAACATAAGACAACTGGCAACGTACAATATATTTAAAAGTGAACAACCGAGACAATATCCAGTACATATTTGTAATCCTGGGAAGAAATGCAGATGCAATAATGTGCAGTCCACCCATCTGAGTCAAGAGAGATCCACTTCATGGGGAGGGTTAATCGTCACATAATAGAAACAATCAGGTAATTAGAGTGACCCATTCTGCAACCATGACCGTTAACAGTTTTTATCTTTTAATGAAATGAACAATACAGTTAAGGAGGCTTGTCAAAACTAATCTCTCCAAAAAATACCAGTATCACATATGCTTAAAAGTATAATTAAGATACTATTGAAGCATATTGAGGAGTCTCTCTTACCTTAACCTTTTTTTTGGGATACAGGAAGAAAAATGGTTTTAGAACAGGAGATCTAGAATATAATACAAAAGAAGGGACAATAAACATTAGATTTACAAATCTGAGGGCTCAGAAAAAAGGGAGGTGGGGTTTCCAGACCTCCACTCACTTGTCATGCCTGACCCACCTCTACCTAGTTTTCTTACTGACCATATACACCAATCAATTTCCCTTTGAGAATACCAAGGAGCACTCATATTTCTTCATCAGAAAGTGCCTTTATATACACAAAAGCCAAGCATTAGTGGGTCACTAAAAGTTGAATGAAAAGTTGTTTTTCTAGTATAAACTCTGGATTTTCACCAGTACATTCCTTCATCCAGTCTCCTGTAAGACCTAAAAGACGTCTGCATGGAGCCAGGGAATCATTTCTAGACACGGACAGAGATAAATGCGTAAGACCTAAAAGATGTCTGCATGGGAATCATTTCTAGACACGGACAGAGATAAATGGCCTTTAGTGTGATCTAATATTTAAGTTTAACCTAAATACAAGGGTCAGGAGGAAATCAACTTATCTAATGTGGACAGACAACAAAGTATAAGAAAAATCCACAAAAATTATAAACAGGAAAGAAACACAGACCTGGAGAAAGCATTGAATATTTGTGGGCTGAATTGACCAAGAGTTGAAACTAGAGACAAAGTAAGTTATTATTAAATTGTATGGTGTATAAGATTAAGTTTATGGGACCAACTACCTTGGGATCCTTAAATATTTTTAAACCTTTTTTTATAGTGAAATATAATACTTATAGAAAAAAGGTCAGGGAACAAACATTACAGTTTGATGATTTATCACAAAACAACATCCATATAAACACCACTAATGTCAAGAAACAGATTGCTGCCTGCAGCTGAGAAGGTTCCCTTCTGCCTCTCCCAGTCCCTACCACCCCTGACAGAGGTAATCACTATGCTGACGTTGATGAAAATAATTTCCTTGCTTTTCTTTATAGTTCTCCCACCTAAGCGTGTAGCCCCAAACATGAGTTTATTTTTTGCCTGTTTTTTGAACTTTGTGTAAACAGAATTACAGTACATAGTCTTTGGTTCCTGACTTCATTGATCCTCCATGGTGGTGGGAGCTCCATGGTCCCAGTCCATCCTTGCAGCAGATTGCTGTAGGGGTAAATCCTTCCCATTGATGTGTCAACAGCAATCAAGACTCACCTATAACAGGAGGGTGTACACAGTGCACAGGGCGAGAGGGGTGCACCTGGAGTTTCCAGCTTGGGTGATGGGGGAGGCTGTGCCACTGGACCCTACAGAACACCTACTACATAAGGCCACTCTACCCAGCCTGGGAGATGTAGCAGCTCTACCTAATACACAGAAACAAACACAGTTAGGCTGCCAAAATGAGGAGACAAAGAAACATGTCCCAGATGAAAGAACAGAACAAAACTCCAGAAAAAAAAAAGAACTAAACAAAATGGAGACAGGTGATCTACTAGGTACAGAGTTCACTGGTTATAAGGATGCCCAATGAACTTAATGAGAACTTCAACAGCATAAAAAGGGATATGGAAACCATAAAAAAGAACCGTCAGAAATGAAGGATATACTAACTGAAATGAAAAATTCACAGGGAATCAACAATAGATTAGATGAAGCCAAGAACCAAATCAGTGATTTGGAATATAAGGAAGCATGAAACACCCAACCAAAACAGCAAAAAGAAAACAGAACCCAAAAATAAAAAAAAAATGAGGATAGTATAAGGAGCCTCTTAAAACACCCAACTGGAACAGCAAAAAGAAAACAGAACCCAAAAATTAAAAAAAAAATGAGGATAGTATAAGGAGCCTCTGGGAAAACTTCAAGGGTACTAACATTTGCCTCATGGGGGTGCTGGAAGAAGAGAGAGAGAGCAAGAAATTGATAATTTATTTGAAAAAATAATAAAGAATATAAATTAGTAAAATAGATAGTAGGTCAGATGGTAATAAGTTTCCTAAAAAGAAAATTTAAAGCACAATAGGGGGACAGAAAGTGTTAATGGATCTTAGGCAACATTAAATAGTGGGTCAGGTTGCTCTCTTTGAGAAAGGACTTTTGGGCTAAGACCTGAAGTGAGGGAGGGAGCCATGAGCATCTGAGTCAGAGTGAGGAGAAAGAGCAAAGACCTGAAGCAACCTGGAAGTGAGGCCGGTGTGGGAGGCTGGGAGAAGGTGGAGACTGGAGAACAGAGATTGGGCAGAACCTGCTGGACCATCTTCAGGACTCAGCATCTACTCTAGGTGAGAGTAAAGATTTGAAACAAAGCAGTGATATCATCTGGCTTACATGTTTGAAGACAGAACATATATTCATCGCCCATGGACACAGACAACAGTGTGGGGAAGGCCAGGGGAAGGTGGTGGGGGCTGGATGGATGGGGGGCAAAGCAGGGGAGGGAATGGGAGACATCTGCAATAGTGTCAATGACAACAACAAAAAATTTAAAAAATAAAAACAGTCACTCTATTTTGAGAACAAATTACAGTGGGAACTAGAACCAGGGTGATCCGTTAGGAGATTATTGTAATAATTCAGGCCAGAGATGATGGTGGCTGTAACCAGGGTGGTCATTGTGAGGGTGATAAGTGATCAGACTTTTGACATATTTTGACACAGAACTTCTGACACAGAACTGGCCTGTATAGAAGCTCTTTTAAAAGGAAGTAGTCAGGAATAACATGAAACTTTTTGGCTTGAAGTTGCCATTAGCTGAAAAGAGGGTGGACTGGTTGGATGGGGATTGTGGGGCTGAGTTTGGGACATGTTAAGCTTGAGATGTTTACTAGGCATCCAAATGGGAGTTATTAAGTAAAGAGATAGTATGTGAGTTTCAGGACCAAGGAAGACAAAGGAGCTAGAGAAGTAAATTGGACAGCCATTGGCATATAGGCGGTATTTAAAGCCAAAGATAAAAATGAACTCATCAGAGGTGCAAGTGTAGGTAGAAAAGAAGGGAGGTCCATGCCTTGAGGCACTGCAAGGTTTCAAAGTCAGGGGGGAGGAAGATCCAGCAAAGGAGATGGGGGAGTGTCTGACAACGAGGCAGGAGACATCCACAGAAAGCCAGTGCCTTGGGAGCCAAGTTAAGAAAGTATTTACAGGAGGAGAATCATAGCCAATATTGCCAAATTATGCTCAGGGAGCAAGTAAGATGATGACAACAACTGACCTTTGTATTAAACAAGATAATGGTATGGGAGACCTTGACAAGGGCAGTTCTGAAGGACCAGTAGGGCTGAAACCCTTTTTGTTGTAGACAGTTCAGGACGGAATGGGCAGAAAAGAATAAACAGTACAAGATAACTTTTTTTGAAGCTCTTTTTCTGTCTTATCAGAAATCAAGAACACATCGATTCTCTTTCTGTCTAAAAGAGAATCCATGCGTTCTTGATTAAACAGACACAAACATACACAGTGGAACCCAGTAATCTTAACATATCACATCTTATCGCCAAAGAATAGAACACAAAGCAGCTAGAAAATTCCACTACAGCACACGAACTTACTTCATTTTTTACGAAAAGAACTACCCATTCTGGTAGAAGTCCTAACCTAAATGAGATGGCCACCTTCCTCTAATTTTGTTAGATGAAACTAAATAAGGTTCCGTTACTTGTCAATAAATTGTATTTCCCCCGCTGTAAATTAGTGGTTGGAAAAACAGGTTAGCTCAGCCTTATTTTCCTACTCCCTAGAAAAGCCATTTATCTCATGAGAACTTTAACCCCAGGGACCAATTCACCATCCTGAGTCATCCAGGATCAGCACAGGTGCCTCTCAGATAAGGTCAGCTTACTGTTCAAGAGCCTCCGTAGGCTCCCGGGAGTCTCAGGAGAGTTAATGAACAAGATGTGCCAGGAGGACAGGCTTAGGACCCCAGGCCTGCCCTGCTCTCACCCCCTATCGAGAAAATGATGTGAGGGGAGCAATATATAAAAAACAAACTTTAGCGTATCATCAATAAACTCACACTTTTGGACGACCTCCAACCACTCCCATCAGACCAGGTGCTAAAGAGAAAAAAACAAACAAAAAACAATTTCCTTCTTACTTGATATAAGGGTTTGATTAATGGTATAATATAACCTCAGTGTGGTCCACTGTAACAAATGATTAATTTTCTAACACAGGGTGCTATTAAGCTCTTCAGAAAAATGCAAGTTAAAACAATGTCCAGAATTCATAATTAAGAATCAGTAAATGGAGGAATAATTTGACAAGTAAAAATTCATATGGGATAGGATCAAGTTATTATTACAACTGAAATAGCTGAAGGAGATAAGACAGCAAACAATTTTCATCACATTAATAAAATAACATTGTACTTATTTAATACATTTTTCTACTTTAAATATTCAGTTTATAGAATTAACTCTTTTTAACAGCCAAGGGAAACCTTAAACTTTATTGCAGGAAATCCTTTTGGGTTGAGTTTATTTTTTGTGGGTTTTGTTTTGTTTTTTAATAGGGACAGCTTCTCATTGCTCCAAAAACCAAAACATAATCATGGTTGGCCTTCCTAAACAGAACTTTTTAAATTTGAGTTATAGAGAAGAAAATGGTACTTACTTTAAGCAATAAAAAAAAAAATTGGTTTAGGAAATCCAGATGGTATGGCCACTGGACATACCTAATTTATAAACAGAAAAAAAAAAAAAGAAAATGGTACTTTTTTCTCTCTCTGTCCATATACACCACCTAGTGGAATTATAATTGAATTAAGAACAAGAATGAGAAAAGACGTCTATGATCTAATAACTCAAATGATACATGTTGGCTAAAATATAATGCCTTATAAAAATATGGCAAGGGGAGTATTATAAGAAAACAATAAGGGTTTGTCATATAAGACTATCTTATAGCTGACACATCTGTAAAGGGTAAGAAAGGAATTAAGAAACTATACTGTGGGAAATAAATTGGACAGATATATGCAAGAAAATGAAACTAGACCACCAACTTACACCATATACAAAAATAAACTCAAAATGGATAAAGGACTTAAATGTACGACAGGAAACCATTAAAATTCT